TTTTTTTTCTTTATATTTTTTGAAAGCCATTTTTTAGTACCCGTCACGTAAAGAGCCAGAAATTAAGTGACCGCTACCACTTCTCCTTTCCTCAAACCTTAAGTCTTCCCTCATAAAATAAAGCCCCTAGGGTGAAAGCGTGCGTTTTCGCGCATGTTAAAAGCTGACAACAACTAGCGGCAAAACCCAGCAAACTCCACTTTGCCTAATAAAAAATTCTAATCCCCAACGAAAACATCGGTCAGGTTTCATTAGTTCCCGTCCTCCGGTAGGTGTGTCACGTCGCGACGTTGCCAAGTTTACGCGGGAAATCCGCCGATCCCGGATGACGTCAACGTGATACACGGCCACGTGGCAGCAGGGGCTGCACTGAGCGATTGTAAACACTCGCGTGAACGAGGGTGGAACCGCGTTTTGACGCGTCGGGGCGTCGAAGACACGACCAGAAACGTCCGAAGCACGTCAGCGTGAAACGATGCGTTCCGCCTTTAACGCTTGTTTGACACTGCGGAAACTAGCTCACTCGCATCTCGCTGATTGGATGAGAAAAATACGTTTACGCACCCTGCCGGAAGGAATCCGCACGAACTTTATCTCGTAAAAAATTAAATTGCCCAGTTGAATTTGGACGTATCCCTATCGAATAGATTTATGTGCAGGTGAGAAAGATGAGGTGTGCTCGTTAGTGCTCGGGCCGTAAGAATAAATGGGAAATATAAAGCGCCAGTGACGTCAGCGTCGCCGTGCTCGCCGCGCCTCGTCCTTACCTCATGAGCCCTGTCCACAAGGCTCTAGATACATGCCCACGGCTCATGAGTCCATAGAGTTGGCACACAGTTCCGTGGCTGAATTGGAAAAGCGGGATTTTACAATCTGTCAAACGGAACCATGTGCACATGTATGAGCCATGCTGCCGTGGTAGTGAAGAGAGCAGTAAGTATGTCACATTTTCGAAATCGAGTTTCCCTCATAATTCGTCTGAACTCTTTCAGATGAAATCACTGAAATTGCTAAAACAGCGAAATCCATATATCTTAAGTATATCAAAACGAGACGTATGAAAAAGTCGTAAGTGCGCAAAAAATGACGTAGTTTTAGGCAAGACAGCAGTAAGCGACACTGTTTCTCCAGAGAGCCAATGAAAACAGTGCTTCCAAGTAAAGTGCCGTCCTCTTCTGACAATTTCTTACTTGAAAATGCGTTTGTTGTATGTCCAAAACGCAACCATGGAAGCATGCAGAAGATAGCACTTACGGCTGTTTCGCCTGACAATAACCCAGCATGAAAATGAAAAATGCCTTTTTTATATAATTGAAATAAAATCAGTCGATTTGTCATCCAAACCGATTTCTACACTGGTAAAAAAAAAATCTCTTGGTTCAAGAGTGCGGTTTCTTGTCGCCGGATTTAAGAGTCTGGACTCTTGTTTCAAGCGGATTTTGAATTGAATCAATGGAAAATCCGTTTGAAACAAGAGTTCAAGACTCTTAAATCCGGCGACAAGAAACTGCACTCTTAAGTCAATGCACCGCGGCATTAGTCCAAGAGGTTTTTTTTTACCAGTGTAGGAGTCTTTCGCACATTCAGTGGCAATTTGACAAAGAACGGAGGCTTCCTTCAATAAAAATTTCCGGTCAGAAGCTGAAGCTTCTGAGCCTATTTTCCCAAAACTTTATTTCTGCACTTACTGCTCTCCTCGCTATCACGGCAGCATAGCATGTGTCTATAGTGTTGTGGACAGGGCTCATGAGTTAAGGACGAGGCGCGGCGACGGCAACGTCAGACGTCACTGGCGCTTTATGTTTCCCATTAATTCGTATTGCCCGAGCATTAACGAGCACACCTCATCTTTTCCACCTCCACATAGTTCTGTTCGATAGAAATCTGTCCAGTTGGCAACAGCTGATGTGGTTTGGTTCCTTTCTGCTAAACGCGGTCCGAACCGGCAACGCCAGGTCTGTGGCTGCCAAATCAATGAGCTGCAGACGTATTGCCCCGCATTGGACATACCCCTACTGCCCAGCCCCAATCGGACGTATTTACGCCAAAAGGAACTATGTGCATAGGGTTTGCATGAGACATAGTTCCTTTTAGCATAAATACGTCCAATTGTGCGTCATTAAAGGTGCCTACTTGAGCGGGGGCCGCGGGGTAGGGGGGCAGGAGGGGGCAAAAGGGGGCACCGTTGATGGACTAGCTCTGCTTTTGTTTGAACTCCGAATTGTAGTGGAGCCGCGAGCGTTACCTGCGGGCCACTCCATCAAACTGATCGATAGCAGTGGCATGGTGTTCTGCGATGTATCGATTGATCTACCATTCAAACCTTTGGAAAAGGATCGATAAACAGGTTATACCCTAATAATCGATTCTTTACCACACCTTCAAATGGGGAAGTATCGATAAACAGGGTATACCTTAATAATCGATTCTTTATCACAGCTGCAAATGGAAAAGTATAGATTAGCAGGGTATACTTTAATAACCGATTCTTTACCACAGCTTCAAATGGAAAAGTATCGATTAGCAGGGTATACCTTAATAATCGATTCTTCACCACAGCTTCAAATGGAAAAGTATCGATTAGCAGGGTATACTTTAATAACCGATTCTTTACCACAGCTTCAAATGGAAAAGTATCGATAAGCAGGGTATACCTTAATAATCGATTCTTTACCACAGCTGCAAATGGGGAAGTATCGATAGTCGATCAATCGCGCCTCGCTACTGATCGATAGATGACCCTCCACACTAACAGGGGTCTCCGCTGAAGAGCATATTAGTTTAACGACGTTTCCTGAGACACTGGCCCCTTAATTAGGGGAGGGGGTTGGGGGTTGAGTGGACAAACCTGTCCGCTCCGCGTTAACTCGCGAACTCGACAACGCGCGTTATCTCTTATCGAACGATGCGATGATGTTTAATAGGTGGTAAGTGCCAAACCTATACAGGCCTCATTAATTTATGAGTTCGAAGTGTGCTGCCTCTGTATCCTAAACCCAAGAGGTTAGTTAGTATGACGAATGTGTCGAGGGGGAACCTGCCTTACAACAGGACACTTGTGCCAGTCCCCGAATTGCGTTTTGATGACCGAAGCTTATGAATTATCAAAATATAATGAAGGCCACTCGAAGATGTAGTTTCCACGTCCAATATTGACAGAGATATCGCCCGTCGAAGCACACGGTGTATGATGTCATCCGTTGCGGTAGTCCAACCTATGATTTCCTCCACCTTGGATTCTTCCGGAAGTTATTAACACGTTTGCATCGGTTGATCAACTTGGAATCTTGTAGGCCTCCTGTGATGTAGTGGTTGTAGCGTTTGCTATTATCGGGAGGTGTCGGACATCCCTTAAGCACGAATTGTTGCATTGAAGCGTTGTCATCAGGAAAGCCCTCATTGCATAGCCTCGTTGTCGATCTGCGATATTTCCGTCGGTGGATTTTATCAAAAATGACGTCATTGATTTTAATTTACTCCATTAGAGACTGTGAGTGCTGAAGATACAACAAAACAAGAAAATTCCAGAAGTCATGATACAATTTCCAGCCTTCCTAGGTACGATATTTGGGAAAGGCAAAGGAGCGAACTTCCTCCTCTCACGAGAATTTTAAAATTGTCATCTCACCGGGTAATCTAGATCAGTATATTTTGATTAAATTCAGGGTAATTTAGAGGATTTTTTTAAATTTTGCCACATGCCTTTATTATAAAAACTTCGCCTCCTCCGAACACTTCTTAAATTTTCTAAAACATCTAAAACAACAATCTAAAACATCTTAAATTTTCCTGAATTTTTGAGGATTTGGGATGAAAATGCGGCTACACAGATGGAACAAATTCTATCTTTTCCAATAGAGACTCCCTCAGAGACTTGAATCCCTCCCCAGATTTGGTTTTTGCGCATTTCATCTGACTTTTCACGGTCCATAAAATTTCCTGAATTCCCGATAATTTTCGAGGTCACCCCAACAAATTTTGCACCTTTTGCACAAATCTCTGGTAACTCCCTCCAAGGT